AGCCTGTAAGGGACTTTTCCTGATGAATCGGTGTGGTTTCTGTGCACTATTCATGAAAGGCACTGGCAGCCAATGGGTAGCCAAGCTTGGAGGATTTTGAGGTGCCACGTTGCATGCAAACTGACATCACTGAGCTGCTTCTAACATCACAGCTATGTGCAGTCTGCATGGTGAGAACAGATGCCATTCATTACATGGAGGTTTGTGTGAAGAATTAACCATTCTGGAATGTTCTATGAGCAACTGTGACAGTAAGCCTAAAACAAAGCCAGTCTGCTTCCCACAGTGTACAAGCACATTGCCACATAACGGTGAGACGGTTGTGGCAGTGATGGGAATACAGCTCTGACAGCCTGAGGACTACACCAGTGTGACAACAGTGTGACATTGGATTCTTCCTGATTCTCCGCAGGCTCTGGAGTTCAAAAGGATGCCTCATCTAATACTCCAACCAGCAGGCATTTCTGAAGCAGTTTAACGGGCCTTGCTGTGTTTTCCCTGCCACCCAGGGTCCTGTGGAGTGCCTCTCCTCTTCCAATCACTCTCAGGGCTGGGCCATATTTGTGTGTAGCAGCCACCCAGAGCCAAGAAATGTGGACATTGTTCCAGGATATAGTTTGCATGTAGAAAAGAAAATTTGCATTAACTTGTGAGAAACAGCCACACAACTGAGAACACAAGGTGCTTTTGAGGGACAGACACCCAGTGAAATTAGAACCTCCCTCCCATCCCTGGTTTCAAGCCACCCTTCTCTATATAGCTTGTCTATCATAACATGTATGGTTTCCAATTCTGCTTCTGACCCGGAATATACTCTACTTGCCAAGGGGAGTTTCTGAGAATGTGGCTGCAAAGTATGACTTGGATGTTTCTCTTCAGTTTTATAGGCAGAACGAACAGTATCTGAAGTTTAGTTTTTACGCTAATAAATGTGCTGGGTTGGAGGGGCACTTTTTCTTCCAAGGTGAACATGAAACAATCTACATTGGTTGTGGAGAGAGAGAGAGAGAGAGAGAGAGAGAGAGAGAGAGAGAGAGAAACAGAGAGAGAGAGAAACAGAGAGAGAGAGAGAAACAGAGAAGCAGAGACAGAGAGAATGCAAGACTGAATGTGTGCATGCTATAATTAGGAAAATCCTGAAACTAATTCTTTTTCTTTAAACAGGACACCAGGATACTTGCCGCTGCACATAGAGGGACAGTCCTTTAATCCCAGCACTCAGGAAGCAGAGGCAGGGGGATCTCTGTGAGTTTGAGGCCAGCCTGGTTTACAAAGTGAGTTCCAGGACATCCAGGGCTACATAGTGAGACCCTAGCATGAAAAAACAAACAAACAAACAAACAAAAAACAAAATCCAAAACAACCAAAACCCCAAAAACCAAATAGAATACTTTTCTCCCTAGTACTGAGACTTGAAGCCAGGGCCTCACACATGTGAACTACAGCCCCAGCCAAAGGAAGATGCTTTTGAGAACACAAAGCAGAGGCAGAGGGTGGAATTAATAATTATGATTAATTACTCCTAACAGACATGTATGATCACTTCCTAATAGTGCAAGTTTAATGTTTGCTAGGTATGTACATTTTAACAAGCACAATCTAATTTTATCTAATATGACATGCAGCATATTAGATATCCATTACTTTGGTTATTCTAACACAGCAAGTTGATCTCTGGCTTGAGGGAAGGATATTGCACCTCTTCCTTCTCCGTCCCGTGGACACTGTCTTATGAATACGGTAAAGAGCACAGGAAGTGGCCAACTGCCCCACATCACCCCACAGCTCAAAGCTTGAAATACTCAGCCCATCCTCAGCAGCTGTGCAATTTGCTGAATCAAAAACAGCTGCCTTCCGGAACCTGTCCAATCTGTATTACAGATGCACCAGAGGAAGACATTTGTCTCTACCTCATTGGCAAGAAACCGCATCTGAGGCCCCTTCAGGAAAGTCCAAGTCCTGATAACTGATCATATATTTGAACTTTCCTATTTTAGCTTCTGGTACAGATCTCCTGGGGACATCTGAGAAGGAATGCAGGTATTGACTGAATTTAGCACTCAATGTGTCATCCATCTTTAATTAGCGTGTCTTGCAAGGGCAAATTTAAAGGAAAAGCCATAGGTCCATATGGCAGAACTGCCTTCGACAGTCTAGTTCCCACCCACTCAGCCGCTAGCTGCTGCCACGCCTTCTTCTGTCCAGCCACTTGGTAACCTTTGGCCTAGCCATTACCACAGCTGGATACCCATTGTGCTTCTCAGAACTGGTAATGCTGGGTGTGGGTGGCTCACGCCTTTAATTCCAGCATTTGGGAGTTTGAGGCCAGTCTGGTCTACAGAGTGAGTTCCAGGACAACCTCCAAAGCAATACAGAGAAACCCTGTCTCAAAAAAAAAAAAAAAAAGAAAAAGAAAAGAAAAAAGAACAAAACAAAAACAAGGAACTGGTGAGTACAGACTGGATTGGAACTAGTGGGTCTGTCCCGCCTTTTGCCTTTCATAAGCTGGTCAACACCGCAATACCTTTGAGCATTATTTGCCTATGCAAACACAATTTTAGTTCTAAATCAGCATTTGAAGCACTGTAACTCACTATGCACTTTAAAAACCAGGCAGAAAAGGAATGTGTGTAAGATTTGCTACCTAACATTCACTAAATACTAGATGGACTTGACTTCCTAGGGAGTTCTGCAAGAAGACAGCACTAGGCAGCCACAGAACACAAACTCTTCTTCAGAAAAAACATCCTTCTAGGACACAATCTTTAAAGACTCATGCGCAGGACTTTAATCCCGACCCCACAACATAGGGTCTATGAGAGCTCTACCATTGATCAGCCTTACTTTTCTCATCTATAAAATGGAGAATAAGAACTTTTGTCTTCATCTATGGTGCTAAGTGGGATCCTGCAAGTAAACTGCAGAGAGGGCATTTCTCTTCCAAGGTGTTACGATGACAACAGGTATGAACAGCAGACAGAGGGCAAGCAAGAGCAAGAAGTATGAGAGGAGGAAGTTCCACTGACTCTGGCTTCATCTCAAAATGATGGAGCTGAGCCTTTCCCCAGAAAAGTGTCCCCAGAGCTTTGGTATCTATACAGGGAAAACTAAGAGGACAAAACCAAGACAGGCAAAGATCTAGTTAGACTGGCCATGAAGGAACCATATGAAAGTGTAGTGCATAGCAGAGTGTGGCATAGCCCAGTGGACAGGCTGTCTCACTGGAAGGACAGCTGACTCCATCAATGAGGGAGCCTTGCGGCCTTACCTAACTTATTTTATTTTTAAGATTTTACTTATTTATTATTCTGCTTCCATGTATATATGCAAACCAGAAGAGGGTACCAGATCTCATAAAGAATGGTTGTGACCCACCATGTGGTTGCTAGGAATTGAACTCAGGACCTCTGGAAGAGCAGTGTTCTTAACCTCTGAGCCATCTCTCCAGCCACCTAACTTCTTTTAAACTTGGCTTCTTAGTTCTAAAGGGCAGCTTCCCCCTTCTTTTAACCATTTATTTATTTTTTATGCATATGGATATTTTGCCTGCATGTTGTGAGCTGCTATGTGGGTGCTGGGAACTGAACCAGGTCATTCAAATGGGAAGTCAGGGCTCTTAATTGCTGAGCCATCTCCAACCCCAAGAAGCTACCTTTTAAAACTACCTTAAACCATTTAATAACTTAAATTTTGGAATGTTTTATTTTCATGTGCATGCATTCATATGTGTGTCATGATGCACACATAGATGTCAGAGGCCATTACCTTCCACCTTCAGTCTCTTGCGTCTCCATGTTGCTGTGTGGCCCAGGGTGGGTGGCCCACAAGTTTCCAGGAATCCTTCTGCATCCAGTAGGTTCGATGAGAGTACAGAACATGCATTACCATACTGCCTTTATAGGCCCTAGGGAATCCAATCCAGATCCTCCTCATGCTTGGTAAGTGTGCTCTCTTCCTCTCGATCTCCCTCTCCCTCTCCCTCTCACACACACACACACACACATTCTCAACCCCTTAGTGTCCTTACAGCTTATACACGGTCAAGACTTCAGCAGGGCCAGAGACGTGGATATTCTAAGATTCTCTCCCACCATTCCTAGGACTTGCAATAAGGATTCAGGCAAATCTCAAGCAGGAGTCAGTGTAGTAATATACAATGTCAGTTTTCACACCTTAAAGTGGCACATTTTCACTTTCCTCCCATTCTAAACAACTTATGGGCAGGTACTTCTTTCCACTACATCTCTGGGACTCCAGAGTGCCACAAAATGGTACTGGGGAAAAATGGCTTAATTCACTCAATTCAGAGAACATATACAAGGGCTGGAGAGATAGCTTAGTGATGAAAAGTACTTGCTGCTCTTCTAGAGAACCCGAGTTTGACCTCCAACACCCATGTCAGGTAGCTCACAGATACCCGTGATTCTAGTTCAGATATGTGATGCTCTCTTGTGGCTTTCACAGGCATACATTCACACAGACACATTTAAAAACAATGTAAACGCCACAGAAATAAACTTCACAGGATGTCTCACACAGTTCTCCCAGCATTGCATGTCATAATAGTCATGCTAGGATTCAATCTTGTTTTATACATCCACTGCAGAGGCAAAGAGCTAAGAGTACTATTATGGTGGTAAAAAGGACCTGCCCAGCCAAGAAATTTAGCATGTGTTTGTTAGAGTCCTGTATTTCACATTGAGAAAGCCAGCCAATCAACTGGGCCCACCCCAGGACTGTCTGACATTTCAGCTTCTTTTTTGCATTTATTATTTATTTTATAACATTGGTGTTTTCCCTGCATGTATGTCTGTGTGAGGGTGTCAGATCTTGGAGTTACAGACAGTTGTTAGCTGCCATGTGGCTGCTGGGAATTGAACCCAGGTCCTCTGGAAGGGCAGCCAGTGCTCTTAACCGCTGAGCCATCTCTTCAGCCCTATATTTCAATTTCCCTATTTGTCAGCTATATTTTAGGCGGGCACTTTCAGGCACACAGAATATCAGAAACAACCCTCAAGTTTATTTTAAAAGGTAAAGACTACAATCTTTTCCAACATTTTCATTCTCAGACCACTCACTGGGGAGCTGTATGGCTGGCTAACTCCCAGGACAGGATCAACTTCATTAGGCTTAATGTGACCCCCACCACAGGTGTGACAGAGCAAAAGGAGTTATAGTTTGTAAGCATGGGGGTGGCGGCCGCAGGGGTGGAGAGGGATGATTCCCTGACTTCAATTAGACAATCTGGTTAGAGTGGCCTAGTCTTGGGGGCAGTCCTCACCATAGGTACTGGCACCTTGTTGCTGAAGGTTGTTTAGGAAGCAAGGCTCTTTCCAGGCAGCCAGGTGGAATTCCTTAGAGAATGCAGGTCACATGCAAACAGCAGTCTTCTTTAGGACTACAAACAAGAAGTTAAATGGGCTCTGGACTTTTTAGGGAAGCCTAGAATTGGGTCCCAGGAATGAAATACATGGAGAAACGGTGAAACCACGAAAATAAATTTCTTAAAAAGGCTTTCAGGTATTACACACAAAATCAGACAACTTTATCTTAAAAATATCAAGCATCACATCTGTAGCCTACTTCTAATTAGAATTTCTTCTTCAAGCAACATTTCTTTGTTTGCAAATCCAGCCGTAGGTGATAAAACCTAGTCTCCTCCATTGTTTACAGTTCATAGTACAAAGGTGTATGTCTCAAACCTCATGACAGGCAACTTAAGTTAAAATACATAGACTGTAAAACACATCGAATTTACCATTATTTCCTAAGTGGAAAATCACAGTTTCAAGAAAAGAATTACAAAAAAGTCTCTACAGAGCACAGATAAGTCAGATCTACTTAATGGAACAAGCCAATGTCTGTTAATGAGTGACAGGCTGTGCGAGCGCCTCTGTCCAGAAGAGCAGAGGAAAGGCACCCTGCTACTCTGCACACTTGAATAGTTGCACTGATCAGCACTACGATCTTGAAAAATATTCCTTTGCTTTTGTTGTTGTTTTTGGAGACAGGGTTTCTCTATGTAACCCTGGCTGTCTGGAACTCAGAGATCCGACTGCCTCTGCTTCCACTGAACGCTGGCTTTATAAGGTATGTGCCACCACCACACGAACACATATATGAGTATCTGAAAACACACACACACACACACAGAGAGAGCTAACAAGCTAGGGACATGCCTTTAATCCCAGCATTTGTGAGGCAGAGGCAGGAAGATTTTCGGGAGTTCCTCATCTACATATTAACAGCTCCAGGATAGCTAGATTTATATAGTGAGAACCTGTCTCAAAAAAAAAAAAAAAAAAAAAAAAAAAAAATCAAGTTCAAAATCCAATGCCACTTAAAATGCCCCAAGAGAAAACTGCTATCCTGACAGCTATTGTTAATTACTTTCTACCTAGGTGGCTGGTATCGGTATGGCTAACTCTCTAGCACAGAACCAGAGACCCATCACAGATATGCACGTGGGACAGACCCAGTTCTCAGATGGGTTGTGTAGCTAGAAGTGTGCATGGAATCTTATGTCCCATCCCTATTTTTGTTTGACTTGGCAGAATTCTGAAAATAAAGTGACATTTGCTCCCCTAGGATAGGTCTTCCCTGAGGGCATTCGCTGTTCTCAGCAGCTCCTTCAAGTAGGCTTACACTTTTCTAAACACTGCAACGATTAAAGGCTTGTGCTTACACTTTAATTTCCAGAGCTTGGAATCCTGGCATTTGACAAAGCTAGTTCTAAATCACCGAGGGTAAGGAACACATGGCCTTGTTGTTTAGAAGTGTAGGCAACTGTTACAAAAATGAGGTATCCTTCTAGCAGAAATGGAACAGATCTATCTCCAATATACACCAAGTTTTAAAAGCTGACAGTGCTTGTGAGGAGCATCATGAGAAAACTGCTTTTTGTTTGTGTGTAAACAGGGTTTCTCTGTGTAGCTTTGGAGCCTGTCCCAGAACTCGCTTTGTAGACCAGGCTGCCCTTGAACTCAGAGATAAACCTGCCTCTGCCACTCATTAAAGACGAGAACTACTACCACTTGACAAAGATTTTATTTATTATGTATACAATGTTCTGCCTGCCTGCCTGCCAGAACAGGGCACAAGATAGTATTATAGGTGGTTGTGAGCTACCATGTGGTTGCTGAGACTTGAACTCATGACCTCTGGAAGAGCAGTCAATGCTCTTAACCTCTGAGCCATCTTTCCAGTCCACAAGAAAACTGTTTCCTGGAACAGTCTGTTGCCTTCCATGTTACAAAGGAGGGAATTCTTGAATAAAGCATACACTGTAAAACCTAAATTTCAATTCCAGGAACACTATTCTTGCACACACCGCAACTGTTTTTGCCATATTTAAAAATTTTTATCTGCCCATGTCAACAAATTCTGTAATTTGGACTAAACACTTATTGACAAGCTGTCTTTTTAGTAGACCAGTCCTGGCCCAGCAAGGCTTGTTCTGAAAACAGTATTATTCTTTTCTTGGGTTAAAACAAAAATAGAAAACTCTGGATTCTTTTCCTCATTAGGCTATCTTTTATTTTATTTTTGCTTTTCTTGATTTTAGGTTGAACCCAGAAACACTCTACCTTGAGGGTAACAGGAGAAATGTTCTGAGAAAAAAAAATAACACAGAAAATTCTGCTATCCCTTTGATTTCCACTCTTACATTAAATAATAAATGCAATAACTCACAATTATCAGTTGGGAAGTACAAAACACAAGGGTTTAAATGAAATGTCACCCACAGTATACAATGCAGGAGGGGCCATTAGATTCTACTAACAACCCTCCTCCCAACAAACAACAACAAAACACTGGCTGATGAATTTGGCAGCTGATACTTATTGGTTAAAAATTGCACAGGTAGGCAGGGCAGTGATGGCATATTCCAGCCCAGATGCTCAGACTGGCAGTTCGGGGATCCGGACCCAAAAAGCCCCTGTTAGAACAATCAGCTATCTTTTTGTGGTTACTAAGCTTAATTTAATCATTATATTCAGTTCTGCCAAAATAACAACGTGCTCCTTTCAAAATTGCATTCCGCCTCTGAAGACAGGTTTCTTGCTCTTCCAGAGCTCTAGAAAAATGTTGGCACCAAATGCACTTCAACAAAGTTTAAGGCTTAATGTAGGAGGTATCTTTGTGAATCAATGCCTAAACCCACCTGGCAGGAAGATGAGTGACATTTTTGGGTCACGAGTCACTGCCATGGCACCGCTGGCACACCAAGCACAAGCTCTGCTTCCTACACCTCGTCTATTGAGGGGTCTCACCATGGCTTTGCCAACCAAGGAGTTTTCCCCTTCAGTTGTCCTGTATACTGAGGCCAAGAAACAAGTACTACATGTGTGTAATTCTGCCACAACTCAAACAGGTTGTGGTTCAAGTCATTATGAGAATGCCATTTGGAATTCAGAGCAATTTTCCCATTAAAAAAAAAAAAATGTCACAATGTTTACTTAGCCCAGCCAGTAACTTAACTTATAAGAAAATAATATGTTAGAAATGAACCACCTTGTGTATCTACTCTCTTAAGGGAAAATGACCTGAGAATTCCACATTGGATTGTCAAGCAGGAATCTGACATGCTGGTGTTGGCCTGCTGTTGGCCAGAAAGGAAAGCTCCCAGCTCCCCCTGCTGGCTTAGACAGTTGGGTGGACTATGAGGCCCTACACCAGTGACTGCCCAGCAGCGGTGGCCTTACTCAGCCCCTCCACCTCTATCTCTTCCTGAGGCTGGGCTCAGAGCATGGGCAGTCCGACTCCTGTTCAAGTGCATTTGGCACCAACATTTTTCTAGAGCTCTGTCAAAGCAAGAAACCTGTCCTGAGATCATAATGCAATTCTGACAGGAACATTATCTTATTTTGGCAGAAGAGGGAATAATGTTGAATGAAACTTAGTAAACACAACACAATATATTTATGTAGCTAAAATTTCACAAGAGGCTCTCAAGATGTTGAGGAGTCATGTTCCAATTACGTGACTGTTTTCAGTGATATGAGGTTGGGGGTGATTATAAAAAAATACTTGAATTACTTTGCCAATTAAGTTACAGATTCTAACAATAATCCATGTAGTCTTAGAGTCTGAGGACACAGCTATACTTTAAACAATTATTATCAAAAGCTATTCAGTATACATAACCACATTAACCACACTTGAATAATTTGCTTTTACATTTTTATCTGATTGTACCCACATGATGCTCTACATATCCAAACACATGAAGCAGGCCAGGAGCTCTCTGAGGTACGAAAGTTGTTCTTTCAGGAACGCCCTTTACCAATAGCCATTTGTATATATATGCCTTCATGTGCATGTACATGTACTTCAAAAAGAAATGCGCCATCTCTTCATCCACTGTCAACTTAATGGTACTGCAACAGAAAGAAAGGGGGAAAAATCAACTTCTATAATTGTGTGTGCGTGTCTCCGTGAACACAACAACCAGCAGAACAAAACTGTTGGAACAGTTCAAGAACAGAGTCCTGTGAGATTCCTGAGTGCTTGTAAGAAAACTCCAAGAAATCAAGACCTCAGTTTCTTCAATAACATGGAATTGTTCCTGGATTATTTTTGTGTCTCTCCCAAACACATTGAATACAAGTGAGTTTACTTCATATTATTCATCACTTTGACAAGTTTAACTGATTCTGGAGCTGATTGATGTCTCTCTTATACCCACAGAAGAATGGCCCTACAAATGGCTTGCTACGAAGGGAAATTCAAACCCCACAGGGTTCAGAACCATGAGCTCCAACAAGATTAAACAAAGTGGTACAAAATTAAAATGTGTTAGTACAGAAGGGATAATATTAGTCTTACAGCCTTATGTTATTAATGTTCCCATTAATCTTATCAAATCTATCATTATCAAATTGGGCATTCCTTAGGCCAATGTTTTCCTTTATCATGTTTAGGACATAAAGCAGAAGCTCTGTGATTATGAGTATTCCTTTGTTATAAGGGCAATCTACATTGTTTCTCCAGAACAAGACCATTAACACTTACTATACACTAATGCTAACGGACTGTATGTATACTGTTACACTCCACTTAGACCAAACTGTGCAGGAATGTTCTATTTGTGCTACCTTATACTGTCACAGTCATATAGCTGAAATCAATCCCAGAGGTAAAATACTAAAGAATTATGGCAAACGTATGTCTCTCACTTTGCTCTTGTGCCTCAGATGTGTTACCTGGCCATCTGCATTGATATACAATCTAAATTTCTCCGGGTTTGTACTTCAACCATCAGAGAATGCTTCTGCAGTATGCTCTTCTCTTATACAAACTTTTCCTGATATGGGAGCACCTACTAAATTGACAATGGACCAGCCTACATCAGTTAAAAAACAAAACAAAACAAAACAAAAAAAAAACCTCAACTTCTTCTATAAAGAATGAACATTAATCATAGTACAGGCATTCTTTTTAATCCTCAAGGTCAGGGCATACTTGAAAGAGAACACAGAACACTAAAACAATTTTTAAAACAAAACAAAACAGGGAGCATTAAAGGATAGTCTTGTATTTTCCTTATTTACTTTTAATTTTTAAAACTTTGACTCAAGGTGTTATGTTTAGGAGAGTTCAAAAATGTTTCTCTACAGAACATTCTGAACTGCCTTTAGATGGACTTGTGTGGCTTACACAAATTGAGACTTGGAAGCCTGGTTGGCTTAAAAAAAAAAAAAAAGGGAATGGATATGAGTCTGTCATTGCAAATGGATTCATCAAAACATGAAATCCTCTGGCTCCTGCAGCCCTGGGATCATGGTGGTGAAGAGCTTCCAGCTAAAGGGCAAAAGATATCGACCAATACATCAGAAGTTAAATGTGCCCACCCGGGGCCAAGTTAAGGCCCTGTGCACCATGGAAGAAGTTATTCTACAAAACACACAGAGCCCCATGCCATCTGAAGACCCTAGCTGCTTTGATCTGAGCATCTGCAGTGACTGCCTCTGTATTGGCTTTACTTTCTCATTCTCCTTTGCTTTAACTTGTAGAGTGGATAGAACCAGCTCCTGTTATCTTTACTAATGACTCCATGTTTGTGCCCGGACTATGGGACTGGAAGACTCCTTCATTTATCTGAAAAAGGAGTTGCATTTAATTTTTCCTAGGGATTGAAATCACTTTCTATTTGCATAGGACATCAGATCATTTGTGTTTCTCTTAAAGTTCGATAAGACAACAGAATTACTAATTATATGAGTCTCTTTTCAAGCTATTCTTTAGATTTTTCTGATCAATATAATGTAACCAATAGTACTGGAGACAGTTTGGAACTCTGTTCTTGGTGGCAGAGTATTATTACATGCAATGCTTTTCACTGTTTTAATATTATTGTATTTATAATTTGTTTGCTTATAGGATACTCATGCATCAAATGATAATTTATCTACAACATCTCAAAACAAAAGCACTCTGGGTATCTTGTAACCTTGTGACCTCAGCTTCTTCAAAAAACACAGAACTATTTGGAATATGCTTTCATATTCATTCCTGTAGTCGACAGGAGTGAATTTACTTCAGCTGTTGTTAATCATGTCTCTATGGAAAAACATGTTTTTGCCGAATGCAGCTCACCTACATTAGACTGTCTGCCATATGGCCATTCATCAGCCACATGTGGCTTGCCTGCCATGCGTGGTTTCTTCACTACATGCATTGGTGACAAGTAACAATATGCAGGAGGCAAGGCAGCTCAGTTCAACAGGACTCAGTAGCTGATTCAAACTTTAGGAGTCTGATCCTGAATAGTTTATTTTAGGCATATGTAAGTACAGCACAATTTGTTGAAATTTTTCCTGTGATAAATAACTCAATCCCATGCACACAATGACAGTTAAGGCAGGAGCACACAGAAACACTTTGTAAAGTACATATGACATCTTACATAGAGATAGATCCTGTAGAATGACAAGTTCACAGTAAAGGTCTGGAGGAGGATCCGGTGTGGTCTTGGCCACACAGATAGCACAAAGGTCACCAGGCTATTAACCACATCTGCTCCCAGTTTTCTGGGCAGAAAACAGGTTATACGTCTCCTCCTTAGAAGAGATTCCCTGTGTGTTTAACATTCTTGGTTCCCTTAGAGCTCCCTTATCTCCTCCCTTTTTATTCTTTAAAGAGAACATTGTGGCTAAGGTTGAATGCACTATTTGTATGGCTAGTCTAATACAGGCAAGCATAACAGAATTTTAAGAATAGCTAACAGAGCACCAAAGAATGGGGAAAGCTATCTTAACTATGATGGTCATTCAAAGATCACCCATGAGAGTTTATCTCTTTATGCAAATCATTAATTTGATCATCGATAGTATGAGAAAAATCTGACACATTAAAGCAACACATACCAGGAAATTATTGACAACTAAGATTATTATGTTTGAGCAACAAATAACTCATGGTAGCTCTATTTTGTAAAACCGTGGTTCTCAATTCACCCATCTCTGATTAATTTCTGCTAATATACTTGTTGCAATATTAGCAGTTTTACTAATCATACAGGCCATCTTTGAGACCTCTCCTTGTATTACAGTAATCATTTCTGGAATTGGCAATAAAAAAAAGCTATAGTGACTTTAACCACTACAGGATGCAATAGATGGAAAGAATGGGCACAATTTTCAGAAGAGCTCTCTATTCTATTGATTGATTGCAAAGAAAAATGGATGTAATATAGCAACCCATAGGAAGGGCATTATAAGTAGTATTTTTGTTATTAAAAAGGCAGTTGTTTACCAGAGGGAAGAGTATGATTAGACATGAAATTGCAATTAGCAGGGATAAAAGTACAATGTGCAAATAAAACAAAAAACCCAAAAATCAAAAACAAAAGCCCACCACTGAAAGGATCATCAGGGGAAGCCCTATGAATATGGGCACGGGTAGATGCTATTTCATCATCCCCTGTTATTTGTGAATAATACTTATGAGTAACTCCTATGTCATATAAATTTCTTTTTAATAGCCCAGGATTAGGTGGGTCTCCTCTGCACAAAGATTGGTCTTGTTCACTGATATGCACTAAAGGAAGCCAGAAGTTATTTTCTGAACCACTGGAAACAGATATCACTATTCTAGGTACAATAATATCAACTTTAGTAAGCAATACAACAGAAATTATTTTTTAAAAATCATCATACAACTATAATTTCCACTCTCAGAGCTTTCTAGAGAGAATTTAGTTATGATAAAATCTGTATTACTGTGTCTGGACTGATCCATTATATTAGTTCAACTAATATATCCTCCATTCATGTGACTAAATATTTGTACAATATCTTTTGTTCAGACAACTGGTCCCAAAGGACTAAAACAATACTTAAATGGCAAAACAACATCATACTGTTTACTACAGGAATACCTTTATCTCCCCCAATGAAAAGTCATTTGGGATAATGCTGAGAATTAACATGTAATATAGTCATTAAATTTAACAACATCATTTTTGGGTCGGTTGTACTGTGTCCTTGTTGTTTCCCCAAGGTCTCAGCTTGATGAGTTAAATTCTTGATGTCTCCCCAAGTTATTGGCTTACTCTTCCTCTTGGGACGTGGCTTCCTGATAGGTTTGTTGTCTACCTTGAGAAGTTTCATTTGCCCAGTAGACTCTGGGGTGCTCTCCTGCTCAGATTCATCAGAATGGGAGCCACCTGGAACTTCATTCATTGTCTAGAAAGACACAAGCATAACCTTGCCCTGATGCTCGATGCACACTGGGTCCCTCCACTCATTAGTCTCTAGAGCTTTCCACTGAACCTACACTGTGGGCTGTGACTCCTTTCGGGCAAAATGCTTTTGGGGAGCAGAAGAAACAATATCCTTTAAGTGGAGAATTTAAAGGTAGCATAGCTAAAGGTAGCATTCCGTGTGGGGGTTTAGGGGGCGTCTACACCCCCTTTTAACTTGGAAAGTTTGCCATTTAAGTATCTGATGGTTTGTTCCCTGTGGATACACGATTCCAGTAACATTATTAATATTCCTTAAATTCCAAAATTCTTTAAAGTATTTGCTAGTGTGAGGAGGACCATTATCAGTTTTTAGTTGTAATGGGAGTCCTAGAAAGGAAAGGCATGCAATAAATAAATAAATAAGTAACTGTTTTGCCCCGTGAAGAGAAGCAACAATCATATTAGAAAAAGTATCAACATATTTTAAATGTCCAAGTTCTGAGGTAGGAGTAATATCTGTTTGCCAAAAGGCATTAGATTTCAATACTTGGGAATTGAAATTCCTTTAGCAGATGGGAGTGGGGTGAAGGAACAACAGGATAGGTGTTGATGATCTGTTGAGCTTGCTCAAGAGGTAAAGGATTACACCTGCAAAGATTTTGTATTTTGATGAAGTTTATGAGAGTTTTGAGTGACCTGAAAAGAAAGAATTATGGATGAGGAGGAAGCCAGCACATTGGCTTGAGCATTAGTGGATGTTAAGAGACCTGGCAAATTAGAATGGGCATGAATACAACTTATAAAATGACTCTGAGTTTGTTGTCATATAGACGTCTGAAGGGAGAGAAATAAAACGTGAAGTAACATTAGCAGTGGACATGTGTTTAAGTCATGCAGTTTCTAAAAGAGAAACAGTTTGAGTACGATATGCAGAATATGTTAAGATATTCAATGGCTGAGAAACAACTAATAAAAGCTGATTGATTACGGAGAGTTCAGACTCTTGAGCTGGGGAGAGAACAATCTTTTTTTTTTTTTTTTTTTTCCCTGAGACAGGGTTTCTCTGTGGCTTTGGAGCCCATCCTGGCACTCACTCTGGAGATCAGGCCTCGAACTCATAGAGATCCGCCTGCTTCTGCCTCCCGAGTGCTGGGATTAAAGGCGTGCGCCACCAAAGCCCGGCGGGAGCAATCTTTTTTATGGAGGATGTGGAATTAGTGTATAAAACATATGCTCCTTGTCCCTTTGAAGAGCTATCTGTAAAAGCATTAATAGCAATCTCTACAGGATTTTTAGACATAACTTTAGGTGATACCTCTGGGGTATCTTCAAAACCTCTTAAAAGTGGATCTTTAGATAATGATTACCTATAGATCCTAAGTAACAAGCTAACGCTACCTGCTGATTTTTATCATACAGAACAAATAACCTGAATTTTATCTACTGGCACTAAAATCCTGTAGGCTCTTTACCAGGAAGTTATTGAAGAAGTGTCCTAACAGTCATCATTTAAGCCTCTAATTTCTTGTAATCAAAGAATGTTGTGGAGAATTATGTCATGCATACATTTCTATACCATTACTTTGTTGACACAGAATTCCAGTAGGTGATGAGGAAGAAAGGATAAGTAATTAGTAAGAAAGTAAGCAATGAATTTTGAGCCCCCACTTTAGTAGCAGCATTACTTAATAAAATTGGCACCAGCTGCAGAGGGTCTCTGGAAGTAATGAGTAATGATACATGGGAGGCAAGAAGTCAGAAGCAACACGACTCAGTACCGGTGTCGGTTCCAACTTTGGGAGTCTGACTCCAAGTAGTTCATTTTAAGCACATTCAAGCACAGCACAACTTCCTGAAAAATTTCCTGTTGATAAGTAACTCAATCCCGTGTGCACAATAAAGCTTAAGACATGACTACATCAAAACCGTTATGTACACATGACATAAAGATATAGATTGACAAGTTCATGGTAAGGGTATGTGGGAGGATCCAGCATGGTCTGGGCCACTCAGCACAAAGGTCACCAGGCTATTAACCACATCTGCTCCCAGTTTTCTGGGCAGAAAACAGGTTAGACATCTCCTCCTTAGAAGAGACAATCCTGTGTGTTTAACATTCCTGGTTTCCCTAGTGCTTATCTGTGAGCACAAGGATCTCTATGCCTCCCACATATAATTAGTATGTATAGTTATTAACTCTTTATGGTGGCTTAAAATAAACTTACTATATAATAAATACAAATACCAAGTCATGTTATTTGCTGTGTCATACTTTGCAAGAAAAGAAAAAACTGGGGGGAGTATATACCAAGATTGTACTAGTGAAATTTCGGGGGACTCTTTATCTTCACAGCTGAGATAGACATTTAATTACTCTACATAGAGATGTACTTGGCTATCTGGTAGGTTAGGAGTTAATAGGTTGCTTTACAAGAATAGTGGCATAGTGCCAAGGCTCAAAAATACTAGGGAGGGGGGCTGGGCAGTAGTGGTGTATGCCGTTAAGTCCAGCACTATGGAGGCAGAGGCAGGAGGACCTGTGAGTTCAAGGCCAGCCTGGTCTACAGAGTGAGTTCCAGGATGGCCAGGGCTACACAGAGAAACCCTGTCTCAAACAAAACACCAGGGAGAACTGTGTGAGATGGGCAATGTCTATTATATACTCACTGTCCCATACTCTCTCCATTAACCCAGACAAGCTTTTTCTCAAGCTGCACTTTGGTGCGATGCAGTAAAAGGGCACCAAGAACTGTAAAACAACCCCCCACCGCCAACACCACAGTCCACGACATGCATCTTAGTCATCTAAAGGTGCTGAGGGGCACGCTGCTTATCATAGTGCAAGTCTTTAGGGAACTCTGAGATCTCTCCTTTCTATGTTCATAGCAGGGATAATACTTCAGCTCTGTACAATGCTGCACCTGAACCTCAAGTTCTCACATCTGACTCAATGTATAGACTCACAACTATTTAAGTATTAGTTCTCTAATCTCCCACCTAGGACAATCTTCCAGTGTACCAATATGAGTCTGACTACATAGGCAACAACAAGCTGAACACTTACATGGGGGCCACCAGGCATTGGTGGAGCACCAGAAGGTCCTGAAGGCACTTGGTAAGGATTATTCGGAGTAGGATGGGGTCCTGGCGTGGGATATGATCCTGCAGGGCCAGGATATGGTGCTGGTGGTCCCCAGGGTCCTGGTGGCACAGTGCCCCATGGAACAGGCGGTGCTCCTGACACTGGAGGAGGAGCAGTGGGATATGGCCCTGGAGATCGATATGGCATATTAGGATGCTGCCCCCCAATTCCTGGTGCCCAAGGTCCAGAAGACATGGATCCCCATGGACCTAAAGTACCAGCTGGATCTGTGGGTGCACCATACGGCCTAGGTAGCTCTGGAAGGGGCATATTTGGCGTAGCATATGGCCCTGTGGGGCCAGGAACTGGCACAGTAGGGGCTGGATAAGGACCACTAGGTGGGGGACATGATGGTCCAGAAGGAGGAAAGGGTGCTGGGGGTCCTGGTGGTGGTCCAGTTGGAGGCATAGAGGGATACATTCCTGTTGGTGCTGGTCCGAAAGGCACAGTGATAGGTGCTGCACCACTTGGTGGGAGTCCAGATGGCATAGCAGGTGGAGCACTTGGGTTACTCCAAGGGTTGGAGCCGGGCCAGCCTTGAGTAGTTTGGCCAGCTTTTGCATTGCTCACAGCAGACGGTTTGGCAGAGGACGGTTCAGGCAGTGCATCTGCCAACTGTAATACAAAATAAAATAGGTATATCTTATCTGACTTATCCAGGGGCAAGTCAAAGCAAACTTGACGATAATCTCATACAAACTATACACAATATCCAGGGATTACAAGTTTCAGTGGCACTTTCAAAGACTGAACTACTCATCTGAGAAGCTCTTCTTAAAAAAGAACCTGAGGTGTTATTTTGAACATTAACTTCACAGTACAAATTCTCCAAAGCTCAACTTTTCTAAATATAGCTAATTCTGTGTTTCATTTCTGAGCATCGTAAATAGAATGCAATATGGTAAATAAGGATAGGATCTCTACACTCGACCTTTACTTTTTTAGTTAAAACAAAACAAAACCGTTTTAGGGTTAAATTCAGCACTAAATGAGGCAATTAACGTAATGTAAATACAGTTTGAAAGAAAATATATTACTGTTGAGACAGGTTTCATGTAGCCCAGGCAGACCTTGAACTTAACGAAAATTATTTTTCTGTATGTGTATGTATGCATGCTAGTTGGTTATTTTGTCAACTCATACAAGCTGGAGTCATTGGAGAAAAGTAAACTCCAACTGAGAAAATGCTTCTATCAGACTGGCCTATAGGCAAACCTGTGAAGCATTTTCTTGATTAATAGTCACCAAGGGAGGTACCACACCTGGGAAGGTGGTCCTGGCAAATATAACAAAGGAGCTGAATGTGACTGCTCCTCCATGGCTTATTTTCTAGTTCCTGCCTCCAGGCTCCTGTCTTGAGCTGCTGCCCTGGCTTCCCTTCATGATGGACTATACGCTGTAAGACGAGAGCAAGCTTCTCCTTCCCAAGTTGCTTTTCCTCAGACTCTTTATCACAGTAACATGAAAGCAAACTCATGCCTTCATGAGTTTATATACATAATGTGCATGCCTGGTGCTGGCAGAGGCCAAAGAGTGTTGGACTCCTGGAACTGGAGTTACCATGACATATAATTATACATATAAATAAAAATAAATCTGAAAAAAAAAGTATGCCTAAAAAGTCCAAGCACGTATCTTTTTAAGTTAAAAAGACTTAGATGCCTTACAGTTAGAACCACGTGGTTTTGTTTTATTTTAAGGTTGTTCACCGTTTATAAGGAGACAGGGTCTCACTGCATAGCCCAGGCTTGCTTGAAACTCACAAGCTTTCTGCCCCAACCTCTATATGGCTGAGATTATAAGTATATACCACCTTCCCTGGCAGGATCATGTTTTCCTTAAAAGAAAAGGAAAGAAAAGAAAAAAACAACAACGAAAAAACAACTTAGCAAGGTTCACTTACCGAAAATTCATCTGACATCTTCCTAAAAAAAAAAAAAGAAAAAAAAATGTCAAAATTAGTATTTCTATCTTTATACATTTTTGTGTACACATTTTATTTACATGGAATCTTTCTCATATATGTTTTCTTTTATATAGGGAAAATTTTCCATTGAAATTGAGATAACCATCCAACTTCATTCTTGTTAGGACTGTATATTATCTACCAGTGGGCTCTCACTGCCCAGGCTAATCTCAAACGCCTGGTTTCAAGCAATCCTGCACAGCCAAGAGACCCTTGGTAGAAACTCCTGTAACCTCTCACATGCTCAAGGGTACTTTCCAGCTTGGCCCGACCCACAATTTACATTCTCATTTTCTTTTCTTTTTCTTTTCTTTTTTTTTGCAGCAGGGTGGGGTGTATCTTATCTTACAACTAACTCCCAGGTCAAAATCCATCGCCAAGGGAAATCAGGCAGGAACCAATTGTTACAAGCTGAAGGAGAGGCCACAGACATGCTATTACTACTGGCTTGCTCGGCTTTTTTAAAATTTTATTTTTGAAATTATATTAGATCGTTTCCCCCTTCCCACTTCCTTCCCCACTGGCTCTGTAGACCAGGCTGGCCTCGAACTCAGAGATCCACCTGCCTCCCGAGTGCTGGAATTAAAGGTATGCGCCACCAACGCCCAGCCATATACCCCTTCTTACTGTTTAAACTCATGACCTCTTTTTAAAATCAACTATTGTTAAATATACGTATGTATACACATACAGATTCCTAAATATAACCCGCTCAGTCTGTGTAATGCTACTCGTTCTGCTGACTTTTGTGACAGCACAGGTTCTTTTAAGCACTGGCACAGCCCACATCCACTCATCTTTCCTCAAGTCTAACGATGTATAATTAGGAAAAAGCACCAGAAGTAGACTAGAGTCAAATATGCAAGTTTACTTAATTTACCTAGTACAACCTATGCCAATTTATGCTGTTAACTTTTAAACTAAACTAAACAAACAAACAAACAAAACCTAAAACACCTCTTGGCATTACTAAAACTTTATAACCTGTTTTAAATCATGACAGATTAACAATCTTTTAAAACTCAAGGCCCTAATTATATTCATTTCCTGTGAATACTGTCATCACTGGATGGACCACTCGTATTACTTCACTAAACAACCACAGTATTAGGCATGGAATCCAGGGACAAGTGTCCATGCTGGACAAGCACCCCAACCAATCTTTTTATTTTTTGACACAGGATCTTGTGTATATCAGGCTGGCCTTGAACTTGATATTTAGCAGAGGATGACCCTGAATTTCTGATCCCCCTGACACGATGTCTGGTTTATGCAGTATCCCACCCCTTACCAATTTTCAAGTTGAAGCATAACCAACACTGGACAAAGTACAAAGTATAAGTGTTCACCTTAAGCTTTGGCCACTACAAACAAAATACACTTCCATCAGCCTAGAACTACACTTCCATTCCTTTCTGGTCACCTGACCCCTGCTGTCACTTTTTAGTCTCCTTTGGTGGTCGTTGACTCCATATGACTCAAATAAGACAACAGGCATTCTTTCTTTCCCCTTGTTATTTGTATTGAATACATCACTCCACCTACACCATTTTCTGTAAAGGTCCTCGACTCTCTTAAATGGTACATCTTTATGAATCTGTCTCCATTTGGTTTTCTGCTGTTTAAGCATGATTATTGCTTTTAGTTTATTTGGGAACAAAAACAAACAAACAAAAACCAAAACCAAAATAAAGATCAACAATTTCTAACAACAAAACACACACTAAGGAAGTTTTTGTTTATACTGTGTTGGAACACAAACTCGCTCCAAGAAGCCACATGTAGTTTGTTTGCCATGTGCAGCCTGCTCTTACGATTGGACACTTTACTCAAGTGAATCCTCTTAACCCTCAGAGTATAAACTGTCTGGGGACTCTGAAACAAAGTGGGCTATTAATCACATTGAGCCTTTCGTCTACCTCAAATGTTTATTTATTCTTTTCTCATATATTACACCTCATTCGCAGTTTCCCTTCCTCTCCTCCTCCCTTCTTCCCAGATCCACTTCTCTGTTTCCCTTCAGAAAAGAGCAGGCCTCCTAGGGCTATCAACTGAACAAGGCATAACAGTTACAGTAAGACTAGGCACATACCCTCATATCAAGACTGGACAAGGCAGCCCAGTAGGAGGATAAAGGGTCCCCAAAGCAGGCAAAAGAGTCAAGAGACAGCCCCTGCTCTTACATAACCACAACATATATGGCAGAGGACCTAGGACAGACCCATACATGCTATCTGATTGTCGATTTAGTCTGGGTGAGTCCCTATGAGCCCCAGTTAATTGATTCCATGGGTGTGTTCTTGTGGTGTCCTTGATCCCTCTGGCTCCTACAATCCCTCCCCCTCTTCTGCAGGACACCCCAGTTTTACCTAATGTTTGGCTATAGTTCACCTCATTTATGGGCTCCATCCTCCCAGGTCCCATGGCCTCTAGTGCAGTGACAAAGTGGCACCCAGAACAGGCACTTGAAGTCGATACAAGACTATAGAGTGCTCAGATAAGGAGGTGAGACTAACAGGACAGAAACCAAGAAAGGCTTTGCCTGATGTTGAACTTGTCGCATCATTTTTTAAGAAAGCAGGAGCACAAGTACTAAAATCATAACCATTAGATTGCTTGCAAGTGTCCCTGATTTGCAGAAAGAGGAACTTTAAGTGAAGGAGTATAGGACAGAGTCCAAAAGAATATTGAATAAGGCATATAAACAAAGAGAAAGATCTCTGTTCAATTTTGGATCAATTTTGGCATTAATTCAGACTGTTATCAAAATACTTAAGGAAGATAAGGAGAGTATTAATCATAAGGAAGAGATACAGTGCCAGCCCTACTATGCTAGTGATGCCTCCCTCAGCTCCCTCACGGGAACCTCCTTTAGATACACTGCCTCCACTGCCTGAACATGATCTGAAGCCCAGGGTGAGGAGACTGATAATCAATCTAACCTTATATTGCCTGCATTTCCTGATAAGTACTTAGGGGAGACTATGAAAATGCTGAGTTAACAACCTAGGCGAGCTAGGGCACAGCAGGGAAGTGGAATTCATCCATCAATGCCTCCCCAGCCTCCAATGGGGGATGCTTGGCATTTCCAATGCAATTTCAAATATCAAAAAATTTAAGTTTTCCATTTTTTAATAGTTATTTTTTATGTGCATTGGTGTTTTGGCATGGGTGTCAGGTTCCCTAGAACTGGAATTACAGACAATTGTGAGCTGCTATGTGGGTGCTGGGAATTGAACCTGAACCTCGTAAAGAGTAGTCAATGCCCCTTAATCATGGAACCATCTCTCCAGCCCCAAAATCAAAATGTTTATATGCGCTACCAATCTATTTAAAACTCCAGAAGGAGAGATGGCATTGGACAAAAGAAGTACAGCTATTTGAATCCAGACTAAAAGAAGCATTTGTGTTTAATGTGGAACCTTCACTGCCTTTAGACTTATTTTTCCCACTAAATTGTTTTCTATGGGTATTACAGCACACAAGGATAAACCTTTGGAATGGATTCACTTACACCACAAGGGCATAAAATACTAGCCGCTTACCTTACTCTTCTTGCTCAATTAGTTAACCAGGGGAGGATCCAATGTCCACAATCACATGGATTTGATCCTTTCGATATTACATTATATATTACCCTTAACTAACAATCAGTTTTAAAGAGTGTTAACAGAACTCTATGGATTTTCAAATTCAATTTGCAGATTACTATGAAAGGATACAAAATCATTCTCTAGTTGGTAAGCTATGTGATTTTCTCATATGGACTGAATTTGTGATTTAAAATTTGCCCAACCGTCTCCCATTCCACAGACAAATGCTTATTTTATGGATGGCCCAAAAGGTGGAAATGGCTGTTTTGATTCAACTTCTATGGTTAATTCGTAAGTCCTTAAATATTGTTTCTGACTGTGCTTATGTTGCAGGGCCATTTTCATCAATAGAAACTGTTTAAATTTGTCTTCACATTGCCATGCTTCCATTACTACAGGTTACAATTGGCACAGTCTTCATTACTCATACTCATGCACACTAACCTCCCTGGTCTACTGCAGAAGGAAATAGCAAGCTGACACAATGACCCGCCTTATTTTTACTTTTCAGAAGAAAGTTGGGAAGGGTATCCATCTGTCATTCCATATGGATCCACTCCTCCAGCCCTGGGCCATCAATTCAATGGCAGCGGAGGTCAAGCAGATAGTAAAGTCACCAGAAAGAACAAACCTCCAGGTAAAGGACAAAAGGAGGTATCAACCATATCAGAAGTCAAGTCTGCCCACCCTGGACCAAGTGCAGGCCCTGTGCACCAAGGGAGAAATTACTTCACTAATGACTCTGTGTTTACAAATGGACCTTGAGACTATAATAGACTCCTTCACTCATCTGAGGAAGGGAGTGCATTTAACTTTTCCTTGGGACTATAATATTTGTTTTCTATTAAAGCAAATATGGGCTTGTGTTCTACAAGATACAGAATCTTAAGTCTCCTTTTAAGCTATTCTCTAGATTTTCCTTATCAATAAAATGTAACTAACAGTTTGGATTACTGTTCATGGAGGCAGAGTATTATACACAAGGCTTTCACTGTTCTAATATTAGCACAATTTGTTTGCTTATGGGATACTCATACATCAAATGACTATTAGATTTATCTATGTCTCAAAACAAAAACACCAGGGTATCTTGTGCTTAAACACACACACACACACACACACACACACACACACACACACACGGGGAAAGATGTCAGAACACAGTGCAAGAATGGAATCACATATGATTTCTGAACACTTGCAAGACAGATCGAAGAAAACAAGACAAGAGTCTTGTGATCTCAGTTTCTTCAAAAACACAGAATGGTTCTTGGAATGTGCTTTTGTGCCCCGCCCAAATGTATGGGATAGAAGTGAATTTACTTCAGATTATTCATTACAACTGGCTATTTTTGTTTATGCACTTCCACGAGAAAACGTATTTCTCCCGCATGCCCTTATGATTATAAACTTCACTCATGTGAATCCTTTTAACCCTCCAGAGTATAAATTGTCCAATGCTCTGAATAAAGTGGGTTATTGCATGAGATTTTAGTACACCTTACTCACTGGCTCCATTCTCCAGGTGCCACCACTCTAGAGAGGTAAACAATACTTAAGTTGGCTACCAGTGATTAGGCTTGAGCTTTGTTGCAGAAGGTTAGTTTCCCAGCACTTGGGAGGCAGAGGCAGGTGGATCTCTGTGAGTTCAAGACCAGCCTGGTCTACAAGAGCTAGTTCTAGTACAGTCTCCAAAGCCACAGAGAAACCCTGCCTCAAAACACCCCCCCCCAAATAAAACCACGTAAGACACCCAACTATACTAATGAAGATGAAGTGATTGTAAATTTGAGAACATTAAAAAAAAAGAAAAAAAAGTTTAGGGTGGAACAGTGGTGGCACACGCCTTTAATCCCAGCACTCAGGAGGTAGAGGCAGGCAGATCTCTGAGTTTGAGGCCAGCCTGGTCTCCAGAGTGAGTTCCAGGATATCCAGGGTTACGCAGAGAAACCCTGTCTCAGGAGGGAAAATAAATCAAACCAAATAAGTAAGTAAATAAATAAGTGAAATAAATAAATAAAAACAAAAGAAAAACTAAGTTTAGAACTAGGAGTATTTTTAATGTTGGGTGAGATGGGTACACCTGTAATCTTCTGGAGGCACTGAGGCCGGAAGGCTGGGAGCGTGAGGATAGACTCTGCCACACATACATCTTAGGCTCAAACTAAAAAACAAAAAACTTTTTTTTCTTTTTGTACAATTAAAAGCTTTTCAAAAACTCTCCATTACTATTCAAAATATCAGACCTCATCCAAGAACAAGGTATAGGCAGATAGTGAGATTCACTCTCCTTGCTTCTCCACTTTGCTCCCCTTTTTAGACAGGGTCTCATTTTCCCAGGCTGGAAAATACTTATTTCTTAGGAGTAAAAACAAAATCTATATAGTGTAAATGTCTTTTGGCAGTCACTAGAAGAGAAAAACACAACATGTCAGTAGTTTCTATGGTCTCTCAGTCATCCTCATCCCAAGTTTAGGAAAGCTAAAACCCACTGAGTTATTAGTGGCAACTGGCAAGCAATACTTCAGAAAGCCATCAAACTGTGACAGAAGACCAAATAGTGTAAGACTCTACACTTAAAAATGAACACAAATCCTTTTTGCCAAAAGCAAGTTTCCTAACATCTGTAAAAGCTGCGACTCCTGGATACTTCATCGACCAAGAATCTAAACACAAACATGCACACCTCTTATATATATATATATATATTCATAGAACCAAGGAAAATCAGGACTTTTGTGATTGTAGTGTGGACGAGCAAGACAGTATATATTATATCAAATGAAGATTTTGAATTAGAATCTATGTTACCTTTTAGTACTGACTAATTTATCAGATTGTATTCAGTTTTACAACTGAGTAACTAAAAAAACATGGAATTTTCCTAACACTTCAAAATTCCTTGTAGTGTCTTTTGTAAGTTATTCATATTTATTGGAATCAAAGTGTGAGTTACTGATTGGCTTTAGGGTGATTAGTGGCATTGCAAAGACATTCTTGAGACGTGGTGTGCCTGCAGTATAGAATAAAAGGGATTATTAAGTTAACGACAGGTCCAAGGGTAAGAACAGTTTGTATAAATCTGAGAGGGAGAATGGACAATCCCTGGGAAAGCAGAAGCAGTTCAGATTGGTTGGAATACAGTAAGAAAGCAACAAGAAGTTTGAGCAGAGGCCTCTAGACAAGGATTCCAAATACTGTAACTTTATTACTTGATTCAACTTCAATCTCTTTGTGTATTTAAAACGGGCCAGTAATGCTACATGGGAACTAAAGGAGAGCTCCATCTGACCAAGTAAGTAACTAAAGCAGTGCTTGGAAAACAGCAGATAAGCAACAATTCAATTCTCCTCCCCACTATTTAATTTTTTTTTTTAAAAAAGAAAGTGCATATGGGTTTTTGTTCACTTCAGTACAGGTTCCCAAGTAGGCTAGAGGTGCGGGATTCCCTGGACTTGGAGCTGTGAGCTGCCTCCTGTGAATGCTGGGGAACAGAACTTCGGTCCTCTCCAAAAACAGTGCCCTCTCCCCCCCTCTTCAGCACCAGCGTCTCTTTTTCACATATAAACATGCTGCACAAAGGTAACGGGGTAGACTGCCTGCCTGGTCTCTGGTCAAATCCAGTTCACCAAGTCTCACAAACCAGAGTCACTTACCTGGCACAGACCAAAACTGAACTAAGGTTAGCTTTTACAACTGCTACAATTTGACCACAACCTTTGTCTGTTTTCAAACCAGAAAGCTTAGAAAATGCAATCTCCTAAGTATGGCACAAAACTTACTTGGTGGCAAAAGCTGACAAGACACTATTTATCCATTTCATTATAGTTCGAATATTCACAACTGCTGCTTTTTTTTTTTTTTTACCTTCCCCTGAAGTTCTGAGGATTGCATTTAGGGCCTCCCAGCAGGCCAGGCCAGCGCTCAATTACTGAACTACAGGCCCAGCCTGCACAAATATTAATACTGGATTAACGGCCCCCGAGTCTAGGGGTGTTGCCTCTCTTCTGAAACAAGTCTTTATAAATTACGGAATCTGAAGATGGCTGAATTCCTAAGAATACTGGCCTCAAGACTCAATCTCAGTTAAGGTAGTGAAGATGGACATCGGGATTCCTTCTGTGATCAAAAAGAACATTCCAACTTCGGCGACAGCATTAAAGTCTCCGAAGCAAATTAATTTTTACAGAGTGGCTCCTACACATCACGAATAAGAAAACTACTCTCCTTACGTGGGGAGCACCACTAAACAAAGACTTTCGAAGGCGACCCCGCTAATGAGGGTATGGCTTCAAGACAGGCCTTTACCACACCGGGGGTACACGTGTGTTCCTGTAGTGTGGGCTGTAATGTAACTACGGTGGGGTCTGGTTTGATTCAACATTAGGATTCGTGAAAACATTACTTTCGGTTTTCAAGGCAGAGAGGAAAATGGTTCAAGCGTTGTATCTGCGCCTAAATCTTACAAGAGAACGTTACTCAGCCCTTGGCACAGTCTGTCCCGGGTAGTCATTTAACGAATGGGTAATTACGAACAGCGAGGACCTTGTCACACAGAATCCTCAGGCGCCAGACGTTCCTGCAAAGGAGGATTCGGGTCTCCTCCACTGCCGTTTTTATTAGAAATCAATGGCTGGGATGCCGGTAGTGGGGGAAGGGGGGCTAGACAAGATGCCCTTTAGGGCCAAGCGAACAAAGGGAATCCGGGATCCACGGGAGGGAAACAGCCCCCAGCGGGAGTGTGGGGGAGGGTCGCTCGCTCCCGCCCTACCCCCCAAGTCTGGCATGGCGTGGTGGGTCGTCCGCGAACCCGACCGGCGCTGCATCAGAACCCTCGGACGCCTGGTCCCCGGAGGATCCTCCGAAGCGGCCGAAGGTTCAGAGCGCCAGGCCCCCGGGGACCCCGCGTCTTCGCGCCGTCTCCCGCAAGACCCGCGCCTCATCCCCCGCGGGCGCCAAAGCGGACTCACCCGGCAGGATCCGAGCCCTAGGCGCGGCACAGAGGGGGGAGTGAAGTAGGAGAGACAAGCGACGGAGAACCGGCCGGGGGGGCCTGACGGACGAAGGCAGCAGCGACACGGCTCCTCCTGGCACCGGAAAGGGAAACGCAGAGGCCGGCCTGGCCGCCCGCTATTTCCGTCCGCCCCGCCCAGCCACCCTGCGCCGCCAGCCGGCCGCCCACAAGATTGCAGGCAGGGCCACCTGGCTCCCGGAGTTTGGGCTGATTTTTCTAGGTAAAGCGCGGGAAAAGCTTCACCTCTTCCTGAGTTGAAAAGACCAGCACGAAAACCTCTTGGCCCGCCGGTGATGCTCAAGGCAGGCCCGTGACTAGAAGCAGATTCTGGACACGCTGTGTTCAGCGTTCTTTGCAGCCAGGCTCCAAGCTGGCTGTCATGGTTCAGCCAAAATTGATGGTAAAAAGATGAGGGAAGGGGAAGACTTTCCACAGGTGTTATGAATAGAAACTTGAGAGCAATCTATGTTTGCAGAGAGTGAGTGGCTGATTAGAATTTCAGTGCCGATGAAAGATTGGAATGTTGCAGGTGCAGATGCTAATGACCTTATCTTGGGCTAGCTCTAGCTCCCCAGAACAGCAGCGGTCCTTGCTGTAATAGTTAAGGAAGGCAATCTTGTCTGGTTGGAGCCAAGGGACACCACAAAGTCACACCATGTAACAGAACTCATGTAGGAGGTTTATTAGGGGGAGTTGCAGAGGTGGCCTCTAAGCAGAAGGAGAGAAAGAGAGAGAGAGGGGTGGGAAGGGCTTGCCTTTTATAAGGGAATATAGTGCACGTGCAAAGGGAGAGCACTCGTTCTCCTTAGTTGCTGTAGTGGCTACACTGTCACATCTTGGCCGCTGCTGATGACTGTCCTGTTAGGTCCCTGAGAGCAAGCCAGTGTAAATGCCTGAATATTAACATTTCTCCTTTTTGTTTGTTATAAAAAGAAAATAGGAAGGGGTAGCTGGTGAGGTGGGAATGGGGGCATTGTGTTCTCTAGACTGATTCCTGCTTTCTGGGGTGTCAGCATCTTTTGAAAGCTGGGATGCTGGCCAAGTCCTGGGATAGCTGGCGGGTTCAGGCTCTGTGGGACCGTCTTGTGCTAGGAAAGTGCAGGTCTAGTTGAAGCAGTCTGAGGTTCGACCACTTGGGGGTAGCCAAACCATCCACCCCAGATAACTCCAGACCCCCATCTTATGCTCCCAAGAACGAGGAGGCTGGGTCCCCCTATACCACCCTCTGGGAAAATCCATGGGACCTGGACCCCTGTGATGGACTGGACAACGGCAGGTTGGGACCTGGGGGCCGGGTTTATGCAGAGGCCGACCCAATCAAGGAGAGGCAGGAGGATGCAACTAGGCCCCCCCCCCAAGCCTGGTCCCTGGGCCAGGCAGGCCTCTAGACTGGTATCCTTGGGAGGTCGTGGTGAAAGATGGCCTAATTCCCCTTGGGTACAGACCCTGTTGCAGGACATCGCCTACCATCTTTTTTTCCCAAGGACTGGCTGGATGTGGCTAAGGCAGTTCTCCCTAGTTCTCAGTTTATCAAACGGTGTGCCTTTTATAAGGAGGAATGTAGGGTACAGAGCTGATGCAAATAGGCAAGCTAACCTTGCTCTCCCTTGATACCATAAATCTTTCCACCAAAAGCCACCGGAGCCCCACAGCCATGTGTGCGCTTTACACCAGCTGCCCGAGTTCTGCCCACCGAGTGAGGGCCCCAAATAGTACACAGAGACTTCTATTATGTACAAATGCTGCTTGGCCAATGACTAGGATTTCTCATCTGCTAGCTCAGTCTTAATTATCATAAATCCATATATTTTATAAGACTTGTCAGAAGCCTTCCATTGTCATCCTCCCTGGCTGGTGGATCACATCTTGAATCTGGAGGAAGAGTGGAGGGGCAAAGGGGCCACTTCCTGCTTGTCCTTTCTTAAATATGAGTCTCCCTGCTATGTCACTTCCTGCCTGGATCACCACTTCTTTACTACATTTCCCAGAATCCTCTTTGACTCCTAGTCCCGTCTAACTTGCTGCCTCATTGGCCAAACAGTACTTTATTCAACAATCAATAAGATGAACATACACAGAAGTGCATTCCCCATCAATCCCTCTTAACTATGCTATGCTGTCGAGAATGGGAAGCAGTTAGTTACTCCATTGGGGTTCAGCAAGCAGGGATCCCTGGGCCATATCTGGATCAGGTGAGGCAGGCTGGGTTGAATGCCTGGGCTAAACTGGATGATGGGCCTACTGAGTCCCCCAGACCTGGGGTGAGGCAGAAGCCCAGCGAGCCTTTGCCAGAGTTTATAGACTGGGCCCAACAGAGTGTTCGGTACAAGCTGCCACCTGGAGACCTCAGAGAACAGTTCATCAGATTGCTGGTATGGGAAGGGATAAATGGGGACCATAGAATAGCCTGCATGGGATTAAAAGACAGTTCCCTGAGCAGATGGATGGTAGCTTCCCTACATGTAGGTATCCAGCAACACCAATCCCAGTCTCTGGCCCTGGCCTTAACAGGCACAGGTCACTGCCATGATGGAGGCCGTCACCCAGGTCCTGGCAACCCAGGTTCAAGGGTCCTCGAGGCTGCTGGGAAAAGGGACATGCTTTAGACTTGGGCAGGAGGGACATTTTAAAAGACACTGTCCTCAACACCCCCCCCCAAGGCCAGGACGGACTAAGCTCCCCTCTACCCCATGCCCTCAATGCAGGAAGGGATACCATTGGAAGAAGGACTGTAGATCAAAATTTGACCTGGAGGGGAAGCCTTTAAACTAGAGGAGAGGCAGCCTCCAGCCCCGTTAAAAAAGGGAGGAAGCCTCTCTAAAGGAAGGTCTCATACAACACAACAACACAAGCCTACTGGACTGTCCCCTTGATTGAAGGACTTTGTTCAAAAATGACCATTTCTAAGGTGGCAAGAAATTTTACTGATGGTAGACACAGGGGCAGACAGGACAGTACTCCAGGAGGAGGAAGTACCTTCCACCTGGGAGCTTGCACCTGGGCCCTCAGTTTTGGGGGGTGGGAGGTAACTTCCAATCAAGAGAAACAATGACTTTAATGCTCTGGGCCAGCCCAAATGGGGACCGAGGAAAGATACACCCCTTAATGGTCAAAGGCCTTACTGCCAATTTGCTGGGACAGGGCATGCTAGGTCAAATGGACGCTGTTGTGACCACAGATCATCGGTTTTTTATGAGGAAAAGGAAGGGGCACAAAGGGTGGGAAAGGACCTAAGGGGTCACAGAGAAGGATTTTTTTCAACCTCCACAACTACAGGGGGGAACTTGAGAGGTCTATCTGGGTGTACCCTCAATCATAAGGGCCACTGCCCCTATCAGATGGGCACTGAAAACACCCATATGGCTGGAGCAGTGGCCGCTGACTAAACCTAAGCTGCTTACACTGCTTCAGCTACTGGATGAACAATTGAGGCTGGACATATCCACCCTTCTATGAGCCCATGGAACACCCCAGTGTTAGTAATTCAAAAAGCGTCCAGGGGCCGGGCATTGGTGGTGCACGCCTTTTATCCCAGCACTCGGAAAGCAGAGGCAGGTGGATCTCTGTGAGTTCAAAGCCAGCCTGGTCTACCCAGCGAGTTCCAGGACAGGCTCCAAAACAATACAAAGAAACCCTGTCTCGAAAAAACAAGCAAAAAAAAGGCGTCCAGGGCTTGGCGCATGCTCAAAGATTTACACATGATAAATGAGAAGCTGTAACTAGTGGGCACCCCCTTAAAGGGCATGCCCTGGACTCCTGCTGTTCCCACAGAATATACATTTATGTAATTGATATTAAAGATTGCTTCTTTTCTATTCTGCTACATCCAGAGGATTGTAATAAATTTACCTTCTCTGTTCCTTCACTAAATTATTCCAAACCTGATCAACATTTGAATGGGTAGTGCTACAACAGGGAATGGCTAATAGCCCAGCTTTCTGTTAACAGTATCTTGCTCCTCTCTTAAGGCCTATGCTAAAGTCAAAGGATTCAATAATATATGCTTATATGGATGATTTAATTTTGGGACATCAGGGTCCAGCATATCTGGAGAGCTTTGGGATACAGGTGCTCCAATTGCTTAAAAAAGGGGGCTTTGGGGGCTGGAGAGTTAGCTCAGAGGTTAAGAGCACTGGCTGCTCTTCCAGAGATCCTGAGTTCAATTCCCAGCAACCATATGGTGGCTCACAACCATCTTTAATGAGATCTGGCACCCTCTTCTGGCCTGAAAGCATACATGCAGACAGAATACTGTATACACAATAAATAAATCTTGTTAAAAAAAGGGGGGGGCTCTGCTGTTGCCCAAAAGAAGGTCCAAAAGGTGCCCCCCTTCAAAGTACTTGGGTTATGCCTCGCACTGACACAGGCTAGCCCGCTTTAAGCCTGTTCTGGAGGTACCTGAATCTATGACCCTGACCCAGCTCCAGTGCTTACTGGGGAGACTAATTGGCTGAGACCCTGCGTGTCAATCCCCACAGAAGACCTGGTACCCCTGTACGCCCTGCTAAAGGACAAGGCGTCTCATGATAAAATAACTATGACAAAGGAACACTGCGAGATGCTCCTTGTCTTTCACAAGGCCTTGGACAAATGCTAAGGAGGTATTCGGTGACTAGGCCCTTGTCTCTCTGGCTGTTTGCTGGAGCCTCCCTGATTATAGCGGTTCTAAGCCAGGATTGGGAGCCATTGGAATGGATCCATTCGTCTTTGGAGGAATACCCTGGGTCTACTCTCAAGCAGATCAGCTTGCTGACACCATCATAAAGGGCAAGACCCAAGCCCAATGACACTATGAGCTAGACCCCCATACCATTCTTTTCCTCGTCTGGGAGGCGGATGTTGAATGGCTTGCTTGGGCTAACACCCACCTTGCTCTCGACTTAGAAGGATTTATGGGGAGTATTGATTGCCACTATGGGCTGACCAAATGGGCTCCTCTTTTACAAAGACTCCCCCTTAAAATGCCTTCCTTATTTCCATCCAAGCCTATCTCAGAAGCCATTTACATCTTCACTGATGAGGGCTGAACGGACTCTGCCTACATTGCCTTTAGGGGATACCAAATGACACCAAGCCACCAAAGATTTCAACC